CTTACACAACTTTCAAGGAATCGTTGTCTTCATGGTTTTCAGAAGTTGTGATTTTTATTGAGATTGAAGTTAACTTTTCTTATTTATATGAATTGAAGAAGCAATATTCCGTTTCCTACAAATGATTGCAGTTTTCATATTAATAATATCTGTCGAATTTCCTTCACAATTCTTTGGTCAAAAAATCGATAAGTTATTTTGTTAGAAAGAACAGATTTCTGTATAATTCAAGAATATTAGGAAAAAAGAGTTTTTTTTCCACATGAGGATGATCTAGGTACTTCCTGAAATTTTTTTTCGTTGTTACTTTGAATGTTGAAAAAGGCATACGTTCGTTTCAAAAATATTCTCAAATAAAAACCAACACATACTGCATATCCGAAAACAAACGCCTGAGGTTAGGATGACGATTTATATGAGTTTCCACTGAATTCCAATTCGGTAGCAGAGTTCTCTCGGGTAAGCTACTTTACGAAGAGATGACTGTTACATCTTGGAAGTGCCGGTGCACCCCTAAGATGTGCAACTAGCAAGTTTTCGTTATGTTTTCAATGAAACGAACTTCTAACGGCAAACTTTGACGCAACAGAATTTGCGAGCAAGCTGTCGCCTTCAAAAATTTGGCCTACCGGCAGTGGCGCAAAAATCCCAGTGCCGAAAACCGAACTAGTAATTTCGAGTTGAAGTGAAAGTAACCAGGTTCAATTCAATGCCACAAAAACCAAGACAGCGATTTTTTCCAAAAAGAGAAATGTCTCCGAACCGGATATAATAATGTCAGATTAGACAATTCCATTTTCTGCTTCGTGAGTTTGTTTGGGGTTAAAATGGACACCAATATGTCTTGGCACAATCATGTCGCTGGAATTGCAGAAGCGAATCCGCTTCTCAAAAGCTCGGAAAACTGTTCCGAAACAGAACACCTCAGCAACTTTTGATGCTTTAAAAAGCTCAGATCAGACCTTCTTTGGAGTATTGCTCTCAAGTATGGAGCTCCGCTCATAAGCATACCTTGAAGCTGCTGGATTCCATCCAGAAAAGACCCATCAGCCTGACTGGAGACGCGAACATCACTTGCAACCTTGACAGTCTGGAGCATCAAAGAAAGGTTGGAGAGTTGTCTCTCTTCTATAGATACTTTCACGGAAAGTGTTCAAGTGACTTGGCACATTTGATTCCACCAAGAGTGGTACATATCAGAAATATGCGACGGACTATGACTACTCATCGTTTTGAGGTTCAACTCAGTACACCTCGAACTTCATTTAAGATCTATTTCATTTGGAGAACGGCGTTTATGTGGAATCAACTTCCTGAGAACGTTTTTCCAAATGGATTTAATCTCCAGCGATTCAAATCCAATGCGAATCACTACTTTCGCACAGGCAGCGCTCTCAGAGCGCCTCAAGGATTTTCCTGTAGTGCTTGTGATTTGTCGTTAAAAAATGGTTTCTTTCCATATGTACTGCTCTTTTCATATGTACTGTTGGACCTTTTGTTCAGCCAGAAATCCATACGGACAGCATACGTGTTCTCTTTCATCTTCTATAAGTAGAGTTACATTTTTGTAACACCCATCAGCATGTATCGAAAAGTTGACTTTTGCTTTGGAATAATGAATTGGGAAGAAGCAAATTTATTTGATCTATAAATTATGAACAGTGCGATCGCACTAAAGAATCCGTTTTAGTTTTGACGCGCTAGCGGTAGAAAGTGGCATTAGTGTCATTAGTAGGTACGAGTGTTAGTCGTTGTAGTTTTGCATATTTCTATTGTTAATTTGAACGTGTCACTCATTTGAAAAACCTAATGCTTTTTACTCGTATTATTTTTATGAAACTACGCAAGTTATTTTTTGTTGCAGATGGTCAACAGCTTATTTTCGTTGCCTTTCATTGAACATCCCACCCCCAGTGAAACCACGTTTAGAGTACCCTATACCTCGTGACCACTGTGGTATAACTCCGGGTTGGTTGAAAGCCCTTCTTTACCAGTTGCAAAACAACCAAACGATATCATTCAGGATTCTGTGGGATAGATGGACTGGAGCATGTTTGTCCCACAATACTCTTATAGCGATTTTGTGTATTGGAGGATTCGACAATCCCGATGCTATACCTTGGTTGAGGTTTATCGGGCTTTGTGCTGCTCACTTGTCTGATGTAAGTACTGCGGTTGCTGAGAAGTACTGAACATATTTATAACAAAAGTAAAAAAAAATGAAGAACCATTTTTATTTTTGCAAAATTATAGAGCTTTCTTTCTTGAGATTAGACTGTAGTTGCAACTCTTCACGTTCCTGGAATCTAAATTATTGAATGTTCCAAAAGTTTTTCCCCGTGCAATCATTCTCAAATTTTCGCTTTTTTCACATGGTTTTTCTGTTTTTACGTGGAATACGAACTATCCTTAACTCAGTCTTGCAGGTAAAAATAAAATCAAATATTTTTTCTTAGAATATCCGTCGTTATTGAATGTTTATCGGTTGTAGCGTGTCCTGAATTCTTTGAGATTTGATTACATGTGAATCTATTCTATTCAGTTGTCAACTGTTTTTTAATCTCAATTTTTTCATTTACCGGTCGAACTGGAACAATTTCCTTCGTATTACTTCTTCATACCTCTTTTCGTTTTGGCATTTCTTCATCTTATATGTAAGATATAAAAAGCTGTCAGCTTATCAATTTCCCGGTCCTTGATAAATGTTACTTTCGTTATCTTCAATGATATAGAGATAACTTTCATTATCTGAACAGTCTAATACATTCTCATTTTAAGATGGTTGTGGGAAAGGAGGGAGGGGGTAGTAATGTATCCACGTAATTTATAGTTGAATGATTTTTCAGTTCATGAATTTAATGTTATGTGTAAAATACATAAACAATGAAGGATGGAAACGAAGTGATAATTTGAAAAGAAACAAATCATTTGTTGTTGTATTGTGATGAAGGAGTTATATATTTGATTTCAATCCTACGTTATAATAATAATAATAATATGCTTTATTATCATAAGACATAATCTTGTAGACAAAGCTTGCGTAGTAAATATTTAAAAAAATGTAATGCATACCAATGAAATTAAAATAAAAATGCTGCATGGGTACAAACTATGTTAAAATGGAGGATATAAAAGATATGTATACATAAAAGAGTGAAAGTCAAGTTTATAAAAGTGTAGACATAAAAAGTAACAACTTAGGAGCTCCTTAATAAATGAAAATAAAAAATACGAGTAAATCAGTTGAAAGCTACCGTTAAAATTTTCATCCAAAGTATAATAGGGTCTATCAGAAAGAAATTGTTTGACTAACTTCTTGAATTGGAAGTCATTTATATTGGCAGATCTTACGTCCATAGGCAAATGATTGTACATTTTTCCACCGTTATAAAATATGGAGTCTCTGGTGATGTTTTTAGTTTGCACAGTGAGTTCCAAAGTGTGTTTGCTGTTTCGGGTGTTTTAATGGGAAGAGGATGCAGCAAAGTTAAATATATGCTTATTATTAAACACACTGATTCCAGTATAAATAATGCAGTTACCGTTAGAATATTATGTTTCTTGAAGAAGGTTCTACAGGAGTCTCTTGGTTTGAGGTTTTCTATATACCTTATTGCCCTTTTCTGTAAAATGAGTAGACTTTTGAATGAAGTTGGACTGCATGCTCCCGTATTCCGTATATTCCGTAGCGTAAGTGAGAATCTATGAGTGCATAGTACGCCATCTTTGCAGTGCTGAACCCCAATTCTTTATAAATCACTCTTACCGCATAACAGCCCAATGTATGGCTGAAATCAATGTTCTATCCTAAAGATGACCTTGGCTGCAAATCACACGATATTATGTAGTTAAGCTCATTGCATTTTTCAACGTAATCAGATATTCGGTTGATGTAATATTTGGAGTCATGATTACCTCTAATGAGGTTGTTGTGCATAGTGTATCCTGATTGGAACATATTCATTTATTTTCCTTCAACTCACCTTACAACTATATACCACCCAGTTGGTTGGCAGCAAGGGTGGTATATATACCTAAAGTGGGCCGGAGAGACCCACACTCCAAATCGGTACGACCACCCAGCCTTACATCCTTCCTGCTGAAAGGACTAGAGAGGATACTGGACGGACTTATCAGGGTTGATGTGAAGTTATCCACGCTTTTCTAGCCACGCTTTTTGACGTGTAGACCATCGACATTGGGATAGAGGAGAATATCCGTCCACTGTTGCCAAGTTTCACATAATTCCTAGCCACGCTTTTGTATACCCCAGATTGTAACATATTATGGGAAAAAATAGTTTGAGTAGATTTTAAGGGTGCCATAAATGTAATGGAAACGAAACATTCCTAATTCATCAATATCCATTATTTTCATAAAAAAAATTTGCAGAATATTTGAGAGTGGAAAAAATTAAAACTGATATTTCTGACATATTTTTTCTTATATCTCCGTTAATAGTAGACGATCATTAATGAATTTTTCACTGAAATATAGAAAATAATTAATAGATAACAATACAACATCAAATCAATTTGCAGTGCCGTCGGGAGGGTGGAAAAAATTTAAACCTGATTTTTTTTAAATATTTTTTCTTATATCTCCGTTAATAGTGGATGATCCTTGATGAATTTTCCACTGAAATATAGCACATTATTTCTCAGCATTCTGGAAATGACTTCTGACTTTATGCCTCCAACTGTCAACTACGAACTGCCTCATAAAGTACTATTTCCGAGTAGAGAGGACTGGATCCTGCGGGAGAAGGAAATATTGAAAGCAGATAGTTGTTGGTTCACAGATGGATCAAAAACACCTTCCGTTTCTGGTGCAGGTGTTTTCAGTCGCAGACCCAGGACTAAGTTATCTACCTGCCTAGGAACTCATGCAACTGTATTTCAAGCGGAAATTTACGCTATTGAATTGTGTGCGGAGAGATTGGATGAATTCAACCTCACTCACAAGTCAATAAAAATATTCTCGGACAGTCAAGCGGCATTGGAAGCTCTTGACTCCACCCGAGCAACATCTAAATTGGTAGCAAACTGCCGAAAAAGACTCTCCTCGATAGGAAGACTAAACAGATTGTCTCTGGTCTGGATTCCTGGCCATACTGGCCTGGAAGGCAATGAAGCTGCTGCTCTCTTGCAAAGGAGGGTGCTGCAAGCGGATTCATTGGACCAGAACCTGTCATTGGCATCGCTTTGGGCTTTGCCAAACAAACACTTAACACCTGGATGGCCAGAAGAGTTATGGACTTCTGGCAGAATCTTCCAGGATTGGCTCACTTCATGGCGTTTATTCACCCTTCAAATCTTGATTCCAAACAGTTGTTGGACTACAGTAGGGATGAACTACGATGTCTAACAGGCCTTCTTACAGGTCACAGTCATTTGAATTATCACATGCAGAGACTTGGACTGTCGGAAGACAATGTGTGTCGCCTCTGTCTGGGAAATGATGAAACTGCAGAGCATATACTTTGTGCCTGCCCCGCTGGGGACCGAATTAGGTTCTTTGAGTTCGGCAGATTCGTACTCTCACCATCTGACCTGAAAGACCACTCACCATATAAACTAATCTGCTTCATCAAGAAGCTGGGTTTATTTGGCCAAGTGTGAATAGGTGTGAGCTACAATAAACCCTTATGGGTTGCGGTGGAGGGTCAAATAGACTCACTCACTTTAGACCTACCTACTTACCTTCCTTCAACTTGGTTGGGGAAACGCGCGTCGAGAAGAGTATTGCATTTCTGATGATTTATTCCTCGCCAGAGAAAAGTGCTTTTCCTACCTTTGTTTATATTTTGATTGTTGTTGCAGAGATCAAATGGACCAATAGTTTTTGTCTTGACGATTTAAACTATAATAGGTTTTCAAAACTTGTTCTGCAGAAATCTATTTTGCTTGAGGAAGGCAAATTGATCTATCTATGAATCAACAGCTATCTGTTAGTATTTCTTACTCCCAGTCCACCCAGTTGTGTCTACTCAGGACTGAGTCTGTATAAGACAAGTCGTAATTGACTGTTGCATATATTATGTCGGAGGTGATTCCCAGAATGCCGATACTTCCATTGTCGACAAGTAACCTGTTATGTCTCGCATAATCCTGTTTTTGGGGTAATATGTACAATTCTCTCATCAGAAAGATCTGGAAAGGAGGAAGGGAGGTAAGTCTAGAAGGATTTCCATAGTTGCTGACAGTGTGGTAGCCAGGCAAACCTGTCTCCGTAGACCAGAAAACTCTGCCTGAACAGTTTTGTGCAAAGTTTTCAGTTTCATACAATTACTCCAATAATTACTATATATGTGGTCAATGGTCTAAAAATCATCAAACATATCCAATGGAATTGTTTGGACCCTGTGCTCTGAAATTTTCCATAAACGCTATGACATGTTCATGAGGACAGTCTGGTTTCATGCCAAAGCATTTCCAAGTGATAATACCAAGATGTCCACTGCAAATGAAATGACCTTGCCACTGAAAAAAAGGGTAGGCAATTCATTCAGATTTCTCTCTTTCTCTGATGAAGGAAACGATCACAGTTTTGCTGGGGTTTGCAGACACCTACTTTTTTTGGTACCGACCATGAACATCTTCAAGTATTCTTTGGAGGATTCTTTACGAGGGTTCTGTATGAGTCATCAATACGCTGATGTCACTCAACTATACAAGTTTTTTCTTTCCTCCGATTTGAAAATTCCTTGCGGAAGTATATGCTCGGATCTTCATTTCATTTCCCAAGTATCAAAATCACACTGTCTTTGGTTGAACCATTCCAAAACTGAGATGCTTGTTTCAGGAGATAGGAATGGAGAGGTCAGAAAACCACTATACATTTCAAAGAATGTTGAAAATTTAGGTCCGTTTATTGATGGCCGCTGACGGTGTGGTACTGATGGCACCACTGATGTCCAGACAAGCCTGTCTCTGTAAGCCAGAGAGCATTGCCTGGGCCTGTGAAGCCGTCGGCCACCAGGCAATTGCATCATAAATGATCATTGGTCTGACAATCATCACATAAATCTACTGGAATTGTTTGAGATCTAAACCCCAAGTTTTATCACAAATCCTTCGACATGTCCATAGGGACAGTCTGGCTTTGTGTAAAACTTTANAAAGCTGATACTACATTTTATTTCATAAAAATTAAATTTTATATACTAGTGGTTAATATAATCTAAAGGGGAGCATTCGTACGCGTACGAATGTGCCCCCTGTCTGGCTGTCCGAATGCACCCCATGCCTTTGCACAAAATTAAAATACAACTTTATACAAATTCTAATTTGGTTTGAGAAATATAACAATTGAAGCTTAAACTAAACAATGTTAACATAAATCATTCATCGCCATTTTGTTGAAAACATAACAATTCTACTTACAATTACGAACTGAAATTAGGTAAAAAATTTACTCACAGCCCGCAAAAACACGTAATATCTTATCATCTGAAATGCCGTGGTGCCACTGGCGCGACACTCCGCTAGCAACATGGTGGTCGATATGTCTATTCACACAAGCAAAGATGTGTTTGTGTGCCGTTTAGTTTTTCTGTTATACCAACTGTACGAATGTGCCCCGCGTACGAATGGTGACCACTTTCCCCTACTTGTAATTGCGAACTGAGAGGTAAAATGGGCATCAACCACCATGCCCACGAAGGCCCATCAGGCAAATCAAGCCAGTTCTTCTCAACTCTGGGCATCCTTCCAATAAGTCTCTCCACTTCGGCCAACACTTTGGTTTTCAGTGACCGTATCCACTTCGAGGCTTTATTATACACTTTTTCATGAAGTGATACCAACTCTTGCAGTTTCTCTGGGGGGACGTCATTGTCTTTGATGAAATTGATTTTGGCTGTGTCATAACCATCCTTAAATAAAAAATATATATTGAAAATCTTAATGTTATGTATTTGGAAAATAGTCGGTTGGCCATGTTATGATATCAGTATTTTGGGCTGCGCATGGTATAATATTCATCAACTACCAAATAAACTCTGCTTCTCAACGAAGCCGATTAGTTTGTATGGTGAATGATCTTTCAGGCCAGATGGTGAGAGTACGGCTCTGCCGAATTCTTGAAACCTGATTCGGTCCCTAGCGGGGCAGTCGCAAAGTATGTGCTCTGCTGTTTCGTCATTTTACATAAAGAGGCGACACACACTGTCTTCCGACAGTCCGAGTCTCTGCATATGATGATTCAAAAGAAGGCCTGTTAGACATTGTAGTTCATCCCTACTGTAATCCAACAACTGTTTGGTATCAACCTTCGAAGGGTGAATAAACGCCTTGAAGTAAGCCATTCCTGGAAGATTCTGAGAGTAGTCCATGAATCTTCTTGCCATCCAGTCTTTGTTTGACAAAGCCTAAAGCGATGCTAATGACAGGTTCTGGTCCGATGAAGCTGCTTCCTATCGAAGAGAGTCGTTTTCGGCGATTTGCTACCAATTTAGACGTTGCTCGGTAGGATCCACGAGCTTCAAATGCCGCTTGGCTGTCCGAGAATATTTTTATTGACTTGTGTATGAGGTTGGATTCTTCCAATCTCCCGCACACAATTCAATAGCGTAAACTGCTTGAAATACAGTCGCCTAGGTTCCGAGGCAGGTTGATTTCTCTGTCCTGGGTGTGCGACTGAAAATACCTGCACCGGAACCGGAAGGTGTTTTGATCCATCTATGAACCAACAAATATTTGCTCTGAATAGTTCCTTCTCGTGGAGGATCCAGTCCTCTCTTCTCGGGAACAGTACTTTACACGGCAGTTCGTAGTTGACAGTTGGAGGCATAAAGTCAGAGGTCATTTCAAAAATGCTGTGACTTCCAGTGTCAACCAACAGTCTGTTGCACTCTGCATCAAACTGATTTGTACAACTGGCAATGTGCACAAGTCTATATGCAGTCCATTTAGCCTCTTTCTCCAGAAAAATGTGGAGAGGAGGTAGATCTAGAAGGATCTCCATGGCCGCTGACGGTGTGGTACTGATGGCACCACTGATGTTCAGACAAGCCTGTCTCTGTAAGCCAGAGAGCATCGCCTGGGCCTGTGAAGCCGTCGGCCACCAGGCAATTGCATCATAAATGATCATTGGTCTGACAATCATCACATAAATCTACTGGAATTGTTTGGGATCTAAACCCCAAGTTTTATCACAAATCCTTCGACATGTCCATAGGGACAGTCTGGCTTTGTGTAAAACTTTATCCAAGTGAGCGTTTCAGGTGAGTTTTTTATCAAGGCCAATGCCAAGATATTTCACTTCCGTTCCAAATGGAATGAGCTTACCATTGAGGGTAAGCGGCGTTAGATCATCCAATTTTCTTCTCCTGGTGAAGGGGATCCTCACAGTTTTTCTGGGGCTGCTCCCTCAGACACCAACTGTGAACAACTTCCATCGTTCTTTGGAGGATATTTCAAGCTACCCTTCCCAACATGGACCTTGTCAAGATGACAAGGTCATCTGCATAAGCTTGCAGATCTACTTTCATTCTATCGAGGGCATCTAGCATACTATCCATCAGGAGCGACCACAGAAGGGGAGATAGTACCCCATCTTGAGGGCAGAATTTGGAGACCCTGAACTTAATTGCCTCGCCTTGAAGAGTCGTAGTTGTAGTTCTGTTTACTAGCATGGCATAGATCCAGTTATGGTCGATTCTATACCTTTCCTAGCCAGATCATATAGATTTAGGTAGTGCATTGTCAAATGCTCCTTCAATATCCAGGGACAGGAATAACCTTCATGAATAGCAGAATGTTTGTATAAGATACAGTTATGGTTTACGCAAGTATGTTAGCACTGCATTCCGAACTATTTTATGGTTAAACATGAAGGAGAGATACATATTGCATATTTGCTGATCAATCTACAAACTGAATAACTGTCCTAATGCTCCAGTTTATCTATCATCTAAAATTCTGAGAAGATCTGATATATTTCGTCTATCCGCAAGGTTGTCTTATGAATATTGTATTCCCTCATACAAAACTGTACTTTTTCAAATGTGATTTTCATATTCATCCGTAGATCTACAACTCCTTACCAGATTCTATGATAGCTCTCCTCATTAAATGCATTCTGAAGACTTGTTATTTAACTGCGCCAAGATTGGATAGCCGAAATTTCATTTCATTTCATTTTTTTTGTGATTCGCATTTGCTGGAATGATTCTCAATGTATGTGTTTTTTTCAAATCTTGATATTTTTACTTATGCCTCCAAATCTGTTGGTAATTTGGGGGGTTGCATGGAAGAGCAACAGTGTTGAATGCCACTTCTCTGATATTAGTTGTATATGGAAAGACTGTTCTGAAAATAAAAGACACGTCATTTTTATCATTGAATGTTATTATTGAATAATTTCACAGAATTCCGAACTCCTGTTTTGTTTTTCTAATTTCATTGTTGGAAGGTATCTGACTCTCTAGCTCGATGAAATAGTCAAAATTTTTGTTCAATTATGAAGAGTTTCGATAATTTCATTCAGTTGTCAATGTAATAATAGGTACTATGTGTCTCATCCTTTCTCTTCATATTATATTATTCATATCATTTCATGTCATATTATTACTTTATACTGAATAAACTTTCTTGCCTGAGATATTTTGAGCGTCCGATTGAAAGTGTTCACTACAAATATGAAAAATTAGAATTATTATGGGATTAGTTGTTGAACAGATCATCTGATGATATTCCAAAAAAAAATAAGTAACTGTATTCGAGTATTAAAGATACAATTGTGGTATCCCTAATGAGAAGGCGTATAAATTCGAAAAATGGAACACCTACTGAAATTCAAAGGAATATTTCAAATTTTCTATCATATGAACCTCATTACGTCATTTGTTTTCACTATCCAGGACTTAACGAATACCATGAAACTGATATGCGAAATAATGACTGAAGAACCCGAAGGTGGATCTGCCATGATACCGTTGGAAACTTTCATAGACCTATATCAATTTATTGCTCGAATAGATGGATCAAAACCAGTGAAATTGAAAAATACTCATTTCTCCGATTCTTTGCTGTCCCTATGGAGAGAAAAGACAGAGAAGGATGAACAACCCAAGGAAATTAAAGAAGAATCTGTGTTCGAGGAGGAAAGGTAATCAAAACATCTCTTGAGTGGTAATATTATCATCTGATCTTTCCATATTTCATGACATATTTGTAGAATTACAATTCTAGAAAGCACGCTGTTAAGATATCGAATGCGAAGGACAAGTTACCTTAGCATAAGTTGAGACAGCATTATAACGAAATTATGGGTTATTTAGTTAGTTTTCCTCTGATCACTTCTGGATTATTTTATCAGCTCAGCACGCTTGTTCATACATTTTTTAATGAAGCGACCTTTTAACGACTAACCGTACCTAGTTCAATGAAAATGTTAGCAAGGAATCGCCTCTCAAATTCTTCCTAGCACCAGAAATCGTTTCAGGTATTCTTAGAACGAATACAAATTGAGAATAAACGGAAGCAAGAAATTGTAAGGTCAGTAAATTAGGAATGAACTTCCGTCTTATTCCAAGGGTATAAGATATTTCTGGTTAACTGTTGGTCATAATTTCACCATGTCCATAATTCAACCACTAATTCTGCAAAGTTGATTTTCAAAATGAATACACCCATGATTGCCAGTGTAGAATCCACAATGTTGAAAATTATGTTCTGACAGCGTTTTATCACCGTCCAGATGGATTTCTTTTATTATAATCATTTGTTAACCTATAATATCCCTTTGATTACAAGTCAACATTGATATATAGGATTCAAAACGAATTCAATATTCTCCGGAGAGTGGGGCAAATGGATGAAGGCTGAGACCGCATTTGGTGGAAATGCTGACAGCAATTGCTTAAGGGTTTCAGACGCCTCGTGACAAGCCCTGCACCTTGTGTAAGGAACTTTTATACCCATCACGCGACTGCCTTAGACTGAGGTGTTGAAAACACCATCCTGGCAGGTCATGATGAACCCCTCAGTTTCCGTCCTCATCTCACTCATTATCATTTTTATTATTATTGAAAATTCGGGCTAGTGGACCTGGTTTCTGAAACATTTCGTCAGCTACTACTGTCGCAGTAGCGGACGAAGTTTATTCTTCAAGTTTATTCAAGTTTATTCGGGAGAAGACGCAAGCATCATCACCCACACCGTGATGTGAGTGATCATTGGATCCGAGAATCATGTTTCCTAAACAGATGCAATGATCCAAAAATTATAGCTTAATGCATTTGTCCGGCCAAGATTTCTGCCTGTCTGCAAGCCAACATGATCTTGAGATTCGAGAGTAGAGAGGGCATCAGTCCACCAAGTTCTCCAATGATTATAATAATATCAATAATAATAATAATGGTGTTAATAATATTGAAACTATTCGGTTCACATCCTCATACAAGATGATAAGCCTGATGTAGTTCCTCTCGACTATCAGGGCAAGTCAATATTTGTAGTGGAGTTTTCAGCTCCTGGCGAAATAAATATCGTCCGCGAAGAGAAGGAAATATAAATGAAATATCGAGATTTTCTCCTCGAATTCTACAAACTCTATCCACTCCACTCTGTCAAGATGGTTGTTTCGAGTATTGGAGTTGTCATTGATTGATAATGCTGGCGCGCACTTCCGAATGTATCGCGGCTTTGAGATAGGTCTCGACCAGCGCAACCTGATAAAGTTAATTATTATTATTGGAGGCCCTAATTCGGTATAGCTTCCTGCGTGTTCTGATTGTCTCCAGTGGTGTGATGCGAGTATCCTCTCAAGCAACCGCGCTTACGGGTGGTAGAACTGACACTTTTACCACTTCCTTAGCTATCTGCTCCTGCCACCGAAGATGAGAGACACACTCCCTTAGGTTCTAGGCGGAAAAACATTATACTCCGGAAAAGTTTCACACCAAGAAGCATTTACCAAGTAGCGTTGCTACTCTCGTAGCAACGCTTAAGCTGTCTCTAAGCTGGTTGTTCTGGGGACCTGTTTCTTGATTTTCCACAATCAACTATTTAGTGTATCAGGTAATCACCCCAATGGACCCACGTTCGATATCGGGAGAAGAGATGAGTTCTCCCTCCCAGGTTCGCCTAGGCTGCCTGTTTGGTTTTGCACTATTTGCTCGGGTGAGTGATAACGCAACTCACCATAGGCATGATATATTGCATGGACATTCTTGTTCAACTCATTACCTTTATTATCGTTATTTGTAATTTTCCGGAGGTTAGGTCCTGATACATCCGGAAGAGCGCGCCAGCATCATCAACCAATGATCACTGCTCACAACTTGAGGTAAGTGATCATTGAGACTGAGAATTATGTGTATTACGTGGACGCTTATTTCGTCAATAACGTATTATTATCAATTTTCCGAAAGGGTTAGCTGGTTGGGCCGTCCTCGAAGCTTTGATACAGTCGGGCGGGCGCGCCAGCATTATCAACCAATGACTACTCCCCACACCGTGAGGTAAGTGACTATTGGGTCTGAGAATCATGTTCCACAAGCTGATGCAATGAGCCAGAAATGACAACCTTCCGCACTCATCCGATTAAGATTTATAATTACCATTATTATTAAAATTATCATTATAATTATTATCAATATTATCGTCATAATGTTGAGCATACAATTCCACGAGTTGGTCGATAATTTTGTATTGTGTCAAGTTGGATACCAATATGTTTTGGCATATTCACGTCACTGTTGGCTTCTTAGAAACATGGAACATCATTTCCATATACGAAGTTGAACATGAATGATTTATTAGGTTCAAAATGAGTTGATTGTAGAAAGAACTTTCCAAATACCTTCTTTCTCGAATTGAAGGGGTTATATTTTTAGGAGTGAATAATTTTTGGGAAAGAATGTTTCTGGCTTTCTACTACTCCATCTTGATACAAAAAATTATGGAAGATTCCCACATTTTTTTGTATCAAGATAGAGTAGTAGAAAGCCAAAAACTTCCTTTCCCAAGAAACCTTCTTTCTCCTTCTTCAAAATATTTTTCCTCAAAACCACAAGGTTATATTCCATACTAATGAACAATTTTCATTTTGTAGTTTGGTGAGTCAACCATTGGAGGCATCAGAGTCGGAAGAGTCGGTAAAACATTATACCAAGGAAGAAATTTCATGTCCCAGTTTGGTCGGAGACGATGATTATTCTGTGGATTATTATATTCCGGAAGCAGGAGAAGAAGAAGAAGAAGCTGTTGCGTATGTTTTTGTAGACATAAAATTACCAAATGTTTATCTTTGAGCATCCCTTTAGGCCTTCAGACGGTTTCACAGGAGAACCTTTGGACCTTTATGCGTTACATGGCGAAGACGATTATGAAGTGGCAGGTGAAAGGGAAAAATATGGTAAGAACATATACCTTCAAACTCAGTTTCATCAGATTATTCATATGATTGTAATCAGAATAAGTCCGAAAACTGTATCGAGGAGAGAAACATACGTATAAGAAAATCAATATTTCGAAATGGGATCTCAAAACATTCATGTCTCTCAACGTATCTACACAGAAGCTTCTGGTAACTGCCTACTGAAAAACAATTACTTCTCCAGCTGATACCATGATGAAAATTGATCTATATCGGATAGACATTTATGCAAGATACCTCACATAGGTTAGTTTCTTGTTAATGCAGCAGCAGGACCACGCTGAAACCAATCGGGTAGACAGGCTTCAAGTTATTACCTCTTATCATTGTAGAAAAGAACCGACCCAAATAGCAGTTGTAATTGGTGGTAATACGGCCTTTATTATCAGCAACTTCACTTGGAGTCCCATGTTGCTTTTGCGACCAATAATTGGATATAGGTTCTTTCTGGCGGCTCTCGCCAGCCCTATTCTCTGTCGTTCGTGTGTCCTGAACGTTAGTCTTCTGTCGAGGGTGACTTCCAGGTATTTCTCTTCGTTGGTTCACAAAATCTCTTGTCCGTTGAAGGTGACGTTTCCTTCCGGGTGTACCACTCTACGGGTGAACAGTATCGCCTGACTTTTGTCAAGGTTTCTGCTGATTTTCCAAAGGTTGGCCCATTTCTCTAGTCTACTCGTCTGCTGTTGCAAGTATCTGGTGACATGTGCTTGGCTTGTTGATCTCGACAGAAGGGCTGTGTTATCCGCGTAGAGTGCCAACTTATTGAATTTGTTCTTTGACTTGGGCACGTCTGCTGTGTATACCGAGAAGAGGTGTGGCGAAAGGACTACACGTTGTGAGACTCCTGCTTCCAGTAATCGCATGGTAGAGAATTCTTGTTCTACTATGCAGTGACATCGCCTGTCAGCTAGAAAATATTCGATTGTCTCATTTTGGCTAGTAGTCCGTCGTGTCAATCTCTGTCGAACGCCTTGGAGGCGTCTAGGAATATCTCTCCGGTGACGATTCGTTCTGCCACTTTGCTTATGGAAGGGGTTAAGCTTATTGGCCTATGGTTATCCGGAAGTATGTGGTTGCCGCTAGATCCTTCCTTGGTAGGGCTTTTAGTGCCCGGTTTGGAATTTGATCCGGGCCTGGGGTTTTCCGAGTGGCTAGGCACCTTACGATGCCTCTCTTCCTCGGGTGATGTCGGTGTCAGGGGTTGCGCGTTGTCCCTTTGTTGCCGTCTTATCCTTCGTACTGTCTCTTAGACCTGGTTTTCGATTTTTTCTACTTTGTTCGTGAATTACTACACTGCCTTTCGAAGTTGTCAGCAAATGCTTACACTTTCTCCTGGTCCGTGTTGACGATTCCTTGCTCGCCGTGTATAGGCGGACATGGTTTTTGGTGTCCCTTCCTAAGAACTTTCTACATACTCCATGCAGATTGGTCTTTGGAGGGCGAAGCGAGGCCTTCGACACGCTATTTATAGGCACGCGCCGCCGGCCCCCAACCGGTACCGCCGCAACTGCCTTCCCTGCATGAGTTACAAATACTAGCGAAACACTAGTTGATTATGTCTTGAGTAATCTCAATAATTTAAAAACTGAAGTTCATAATTGCCCCAAAATCACTGATCACTCGATAATATCAGTCAATTCAATTAATTCTGCTGTGTATACCGGGAAGAGGTGTGGCGAAAGGACTACACGTTGTGAGACTCCTGCTTCCAGTAATCGCATGGTAGAGAATTCTTGTTCTACTCTGCAGTGACATCGCCTGTCAGCTAGAAAATATTCGATTATCTCATTTTGGCTAGTAGTCCGTCGTGTCAATCTCTGTCGAACGCCTTGGAGGCGCCTAGGAATATCTCTCCGGTGATGATTCGTTCTGCCACTTTGCTTATGGAAGGGGTTAAGCTTATTGGCCTATAGTTATCCGGAAGTATGTGGTTGCCGCTAGACCCTTCCTTGGTAGGGCTTTTAGTGCCCGGTTTGGAATTTGATCCGGGCCTGGGGTTTTCCGAGTGGCTAGGCACCTTACGATGCCTTTCTCTTCTTCGGGTGATGTCGGTGTCAGGGGTTGCGCGTTGTCCCTTTGTTGCCGTCTTATCCTTCGTACTGTCTCTTTGACCTGGTTTTCCATTTTTTCTACTTCGTTCGTGAATTACTACACTGCCTTTCGAAGTTGTCAGTACGCTTTCTCTTGGTCCGTGTTGACGATTCCTTGCTCGCCGTGTACAGGCGGCCATGGTTTTTGGTGTCCCTCCCTAAGAACTTTCTGCAGTCTCCATGCAGATTGGTCTTTGGAGGGCGGGCCTTCGACACGCTATTTATAGGCACGCGCCGCTGGCCCCCCAACCGGTACCGCCACAACTGCCTTCCCTGCATGTATCTTCGAAAATATTTATTCGAACTACATGCTGTGAAGGGACATATTGATCTATATTAAATGCACAATGTATACAAGGTACTTAATTGGATAGAGATTATTACTGCATTGCTTAAAATTGCTTCATCGAGGATGAAAAATGGTTATTATGGTTTCTTCCTGGGATAATTTCTTGTAGACTTTTTTGAAGTGTAGGTACAATACTGTAGAACATTATTTTGATCTNACACCTGGTATGATTTTGTGAACTGTTTGAAAAAAAATTTACAGAAGAGTATTGCTGAATACGTCATTACATACTTTCATCAAATATTGGCTGAGTCTATCACATACATTGATATAGTGATTAATCTGACGCTATAATGTTTAAAATTGATCGTCTTATATTTATGGCAAAGGTCCAGTTTCAAGCTTGCAAATTCCCATATATTCCTAATTACTTATCACACTATTTACACAAAATACTAGCATAGCTGGGTTGAATGGTTGAAAGTTAATGAAGACGAACTTTTCCTTACACTCTTACACCTATTTCAATTTTTCATAGATTTGACATCAGAGAATTCCGAAACACGACACATTGCTCCAGAGGAAGGGGAAAAGGAAGATGGAGGAATAGAAGAGCATTTGGAGGGAGAATTAGAAAAACATGTTGAAGAAGGAAAACATATTGAAGAGAAAGAGAGTGCTGGTGATCATACAATAGAGCCAACCGCTTATGAATCTGTTGATACTATACAAGAAATACCTAGAAAAATAGAGCCTGATGACTTCGAAGATGAAAAAACTCTTCTCGAGGACCTTCAAAGATTGAAAGTAAGTTGAATGAAGGGTATTTTGAGCGAAACTAATATTGACATACTTTCACAATCAAATGATTGAAAGTGATTTTTGTCATATATGAAATTGCATTAATCGTTTTCTGGTTTCCTGTTTCTACATATACCTGTATAAAAGTGACAACTCTGAAAAAAAAAAAGAAAAACAGATATTAAACCCAGAACAAATATCATTTATTTGGTATGCTACATACACAATTAAGAAATTGAAAGTTATTTTTATAAAATTAGAATCAAGAAGAAACCTATGGGTTTTAATTGGACAATGAACTCGCTTTATTGAAAAACTGGTTGATATTCACAATTTTTTTATTAAAAACTGTTCAATCTTCCTCTTGAAGATGATTACCTACTTGGTGATCGAAACACGTGTTGAGGTGTTAAAATACTGGTTTGGTGTTGGGATAAAACTCTAGTATATGCCTTTATTCTGTTTGATTGTTCAACACTCTAGGTTGATACAATACACTTTGATTTAAGGCTCTTCAACAAGAAATTGCCGGAGAAACCGACGAAGAAGTTGAAAAGTACAAATGCAAATTAATTGAAGAAA